CCAAGAAACTAGAAGTCACACGAATTCCTAACATCAAAGCGAGTGTTGCGACTCGCTCACCTCATCGAAGATCACATGACAAAGGAACATTACTCATAAGACTTCTGTTTATCTGTTTTGCTCGCTGCGTGTATAAACATTAGGAGGCGACTAGCTTTTGGGAATTGTGTGAGGCGTACGACTGAGACTGCTTGATTGTTTTTTTTGTATTGACGGTGGAGATGTGTTATATTTCTCTTGCAGTCGATGATAAGTGTGATGCGGATGAAGAGTAGTAAATAAGATTCTTAGTATTGGGGATTGTTATGTTTGCTGTCTTTTAGTTGTTTTATTATGTATTATATTTATAGTTGATTTTCTTTGGGGGTGTTGTTTATATGGTATAGTCTGGTTTTATGAGGATTCGCGGGAGTTGCGACTTGCACGGTATATGTTTGTACGCGGTTCGTGATTTTTGTTGGCCTGTGAAAGAGCTACTTGTTCAGATTTTGTTTGATTGAGTACAATATAATCGTGTGGATTTGCTTTTATGAAGCAAAGGAACAGTTTTATTGTTTCCTATTTCATACGTAGTTGTATGCTTTTTGGAAGTATATTGCACGGTTGAGAATATGGTATGTTGTGTATCTCCTGTAGATGGGTGTAGAATAGGAATGAAACTAACGTTTATGATTTGGTTCCGATAGGAGCAGTATGAGTTGGTTAGTGAAATAAGTTTCTCGTATTTTGACCAGATCTTTGTCATATCTGTTGGATTTCAGTCGTATTAATAGGAGAGGGATAAGATGGAAATATTTATGAACGCCGTCGGAAATATCCCTTTGTTGTGGCTATGCATGTGTGGCATTTTTAATAGAGCTGAAGCTTTTCTTTTAGATATTGTTCGTACTAAAAAATTTGGCTAATTTCTAGTGCAGTTTTTGGAAAGGGTAATGGGGTTTTGATGTGTAGTAAGCTTGAAAATGACGTATGTTGTTCTTTTGAAGTGAAATGTGGGAGATGCAGTTGGATGAATGTAGTTTGGTCGACGTAAAAACATAAGCTTGATTGTGTGTTTGTTCGCTGGATGCCGGTACAGCAATTGAAAAACGGGTACATCTTGCCATGGCTGTGCAACGTGACTATTGACTTGAGACATTCTTAACCGAATGACCGAGTTGTGTGCTTCTCGTCAAGTTGGATGTCCTTCACGTAGAAATAATACTTACTTTTAAATTGATTTCCAGACTAGCAAACCGTTCGAGGTGCATGACGGTAGTTGGCAATTGTGAATAACCAAAATAGCGAATAATATGCGCGCTGGATATGGCATAGAAATGATGACCCAAGCAAAGATTTTCATTAGGAATCGGTGCTTACCACCTGAAGATCGTTGAATACATAGAGTTTCATAATTCTTCAGGCGCAACAAAATGACTTAATAGTTGCAGACAGAAAATAATCTTGAATCGGACGTTTTTGTATGAACCTCGAGAACTTGTGCCAATTCTTCAAGTCACATATTATTAGATAATATCTTCTCTTTCACCTATAAAAATATAAACCTAAGAATGTGAGAATAAATTTTTCCTAATTGATGAATCGGAAATTTTTTGTCAAGAAGTGTTCATAAAGTGGTGAACAATTCTAAATAAAAGAGAGCATAGTAGAAACCAATGATTGTTTAACTTATTTGCTTATGCAATGCTCATCACGTGTCGCTGATTAAAGTTCAGCCGACCTATATATTCAATAACCGGATTGAAATGGATAAAAAATATGAATATGTCGCGCAAAGAACAAAATGAAAAGAATAAAAATTTTATTTTGAACTATTGGTGAGTTAAATACTAATCGAATTTTACCTCAAGAAGATAGCACTAAGTTTGCTGATGTATGGTCCAGCGACCGAAAACGAACCGAACCGAACTCTAGCGGTTCGGTTCGAGTCGAGTCGATCTAAACCGAACCCGAATCGGATTTTTTGTAATGCACTTAAATCGAACCGAACTCGAACCATCTTTTGAAAAACGATGTTGAATTGAACCGACCTTAAACTAATTTCCGAAAGGCGAGTAAGTATGGACAAACGTATAAGGAAGATGATTGATTGAGGTATCATCTTTTTTTGTAAAATTATGATGCTCTGGACAACAATCAAACGATGTTTTTTCGATTGTTTTACATCCGCGACCAGAAAAGAACTGAACTGAACTATAACGGTTTGATTCGAGTGAATCTGATCCGAATCCGAACTGGTTTTTAGGCAACAGAGATGAACCAAACCGAACTCGAACCAGTAAAACTCGGTTCAATTCGGCTTCTGGTATGGTCTAATGAAAATATATGAGTAATAGTAAAGGAATAAGTATGAGGAAAATAATTTTCAAGCTTTCAACAAATAATAATAAGATTGAACAAAAATTGATTGATGAAACTTGCAAGAGATTTGACGAATTAATAAAATATGGTGAACAACAAATACGTAACAGTTAAAGGAGATTTTTGTGTAATCAGGTTAATATAAGAGTGTTTTATATCTGTTTTGTTAACAAAATATCTTATTGATCGATTGCGAAAAATTGATACCCACATTCTCATGTTTATATTTTTATTATTAGAAGAGAAGATATTATTCAATAATATGTCATTTCAAAGATTGACATGAGTACTCAAGGTTCATATAAAAACATTGAAATAGAAGTTGTTTTGTGTCTTCATATGAACTCATTTTATTGTGCCTCAAGCCTTATGAAATGCCTTATATGAATTTAATTGATTATTCAATATGTCGTATTCTTACAGATATCTTTATTTTAGGTGGTCTCCATGAGTGATTGGATGCAAAGTTATTCAGCATCAAAGAAGTATTTATAATTCTAGACAACATATTGATTTTTTCAAATAAAATAACTATTGTCGATGTCAAAATATTATGTATTTCGATTGTTTTTTAAATATTTCGTAAGCGAAAGCACTTACAATTCTAAGATTTTCACGATCCAAAAGGAAACTGTGGACGAAGTAAAATACTTCCATATTAGTTTGTCTATGCATTGGTCCAGTGAGGCAACTTTCACGATGGATGTTGTTCAGATATTTTCAAAGACGATTTTTCAATCCAATATTAGCTTCGATTTAGCCAATCGATAATGAATAAATTTTGACTTGAACAAAGCTCAATGGAATACTACCAATTGCTTTTAGTTTTAATATAATGATTGTTATAATTCATTCTATACAATGCTGTGAACGACAGATAGAATATCATCTAAATTTCGTTCTTTTGAGGTCATATTACTTCAAAATTAAAAATAAATATCATCATTCGATGGAATTTGGTCAAATAACCCCAATTTCATACTTAGGTCTGACCAAACGTTCTGAGATCTTTAAATAAAAAGAAATAAAGATAAGAAGATATTTTTAATTTTATTGAATCAAACGTTGAGGATAGTTACCATGATTATTGATATCAAGTTCAATTCTTTCGACACAATTTATTAAAAGTTTTTTCGAACTGTTTTTCGAACAAAATTTTAGCTACTTTGGATACTGCATGAGTATATAATATTTCATTTAATTAATTAAACCCGCTTCGATAGAGCTACTTAGTCAAAGATTAGGTAGTATTAGGTACAGTAAATATGACTGCTGCGGCATTATATTGATGCTCTCTTCTGTCAAATAGTTAATAACATCGGATGAGTATGAAGTCAACGATAATCTTCAAGCAGTTTTGTACATTTTGCACTTTATTCTTCTTTTTATTTTCATATTACATTTACAAAAGGCTTCAGATAATTTTCAATATAATATTTGTAACCTACTGTCATGCTTTTATCTACACTGAGGGCTATTTGATTTAAAGCATATGTCTAACAAAATTTGTGTTCAAATCTATCTTCATGAACAATAGTCTTTCACGATTCATCCTCAATAAGCCAGCTAGAATCAGGTGACTTTTGATTAACCTATATAAAATAAATATATACTTCGTTACTAGTATTACTAGAACGCAAGTGACATCAGCTGACAAAACTTCATTAAAATTTTAAAAAAAATGAAACATGATTAGCTCATGCGGCATCCAAGGTAGCCAAATCTTTTTTGAAAAACAGTTCGAAAAAACTTTTAATAAATTGTGTCGAAAGAATTGAACTTGATATAAATAATCATGGCAACTATCCTCAACATTTGATAAAATAAAATTAAAAATATCTACTTATCTTTATATTTTTATTTAAAGATCTCAGAACTTTTGGTCAGACCTAAGTATGGCTAACATAATTTATTAAACTTAAACTAAGCGAAAACAAAATCAATTTGGGAATCTTGGCTTTAGTTTAAAAATAAATATTATTCAAAAAAAAAACATTCGATTGATTTTATATCTTCTAAACCAAATATTGAACAAGAAATATCAATGTCTTTAAAAAAAAGAATAAATCTTTGGTCCCTTGAAAATCCATATTTATATGATATTCATATTGATTTATATCAAGTGGATATATTTATTGAACATATTGATAGTTATATCGATTCTAGACAAAGTTCCCATTGTTCTAAAAAGGAAAAAACTTGTCTTAATAATAAACATATTTTATGTTTGGAGCCCTTGATCAAGATTATTGATCTGATCATCCATATAGATATGATATAGTGCAAATAAAACACTTAGATTTTAATACAATTATTGATGTGATGTATCAGATATACTTGTTTGACAAGATATACCTGTAGATTCCTTTTATGGTTATAAAGTTGAATTAGATGCTGATAAACAATTGCGATTACATCATGATAATAGAGGACGAATGGTTTATCACTAGCTCCAATAATATATGAAGATTTATCTATGAATCGGCTATCGACTATGGAAAAAAAACTTTGAATCTAAAGTTCAATTTGAACATGAATTAAAAGCACTGATTGATTTTCTTTCATTTCATCCATCAATTATTATTTGGGTATTATTTAATGAAGAATGGAGCCAATATGATCAAATATGTTTAGAAAACATGGTTGCAGATCAAGATGATTTAATCAATGCTGCTAGTGGATGGCAAGATCGAATAGGTATTGGAGATATCAACGATATCCATGATTATACGAAATAGATTTTATTATCATCATTTGATGAAATCTTCTTAGAGTTGATAATCATTATTTAATGACATATGCATTCAAATAACTTATCCTTAATCTTTCACAACGTTTATCAGCTATGATTTATACACAATTATCTGATATTGAAAATGAATTGAATGAAATTTTAACATGTAATCGATAAGGAATTAGATTTGTGACTGCGTGTGTCATACGTATACTAAGTAATCTTTTTTGGGGTTCTATACAGACAAAACATTGTTTTAAGATATTTACATATATTATATGCGATCATTAGATGATAATGAAGACAAATCTTTTGTACATATCAATGCTTTCTAAATAATTCATACATATTGATTAATTTAAATAAACATATAGTGTTTTATTTGACAATGAAAATATTTCTTCTTTTATGTTATCGAGAAGTAGACTTGATATTCTATTATAACGTGGTACTCTTGTTGATTCAGTACCATTTGGTAAACGAGCTGAAAATAATAAAATAGCTGGTTCAACACCATTAACTGATGCAACTAAATATAATCATTCTGAATGTGTTAAACGTTTATTAGTACATCATGCTAATCCAAATCATAAAAATCATTCGAGTATATCAGCACTAATACTTGCGGCTAAACTAGGTTATTTTGAATGTGTTAAATTACTTGTACAAGCTAGAGCTGATCTAAAATTGTCATCGAGTAGTAAAAATAATTCTCTAGAAAACTTTAGGAATTGTTATTTTTTTACAACATTTATAAAATTAATTGATTTATTTCTAGGTTCAGTAGCATTAAGATTGAATTTATGTGGTCAAACATCATTATTTTGTGCAGCAAGAGAAGATCGAACAGATATAGTTAAATATTTATTAGACGATGAAGCTAATCGACATGTTCGAAATCATTATGGTGTTAGTGCTTTATGCATTCCATTACAAAAAGGCATATTACAAGTTGTTGAATTATTATTAAATGACGGTACTACAACACATGTTGCTCCATTTGATAGTCAAGCTGATGAATTAAATATAACTGGTTTTTGATGTTGGGAAATTACTTCTTAAATGTGATGCTGATCTAAATACAGTAACAAAATTCAGTTCGACATCATTTTTATTGGCATGTGAAATATGTAATTTAGATATAATTGAAGGTGGTGCTGATTTTAATTACGAAGCAAGTGATTCAGAGGCTGATAATTTATAATGTAATTCGTCAAACAGGATTTTTTTGTGGCTATATTAAACAATCGTGTTGATGTTGCAAAGTTTTTAATTGAAAAAAGGCGCAAGAATAAATGTACACAATTGTTATTGTGTATCATCATTACTTCTTTGTACTGAATCGGTTAATCGAGAACTTGCTCAAGTACTTACTAAAGTTACTGCTAATGTTAATATTGCATCGCAAGAAAAATCATCTGAAGAAAATTTCCTTGCTAGACAGGTAAAGTCTTTGTCGTATTTTTGTTGTTGTACTGATCAACTAAATTTTTTATTGACATTAACATTTAGAGAACTTTAACATATAAGAGTTTACATAGAAATTCTGTCTGTATATGAATGTAGTACGATGAGAACTCTACATGTTTGTATTATGGTAGCACGAATCCAGTGATATTTTCATAAAAATTATAATGAAAACTATGTACTCTTATTTTTAGATCAATAAGAAAAATTTTCACTTCTATGTTAATGTGCATACTGCACTTAACATTCAAACGAAATCGATTCATAATGAATTATATTCTGTTTTCGGCGATCAAACTCCATCTTATAATACAGTTGCCAAATGGTCTTGAGAAGGATGAGAATATATCATAGAAAGATAAGAATGCAGCTAAAACGAATATTTATGAATGATTTTTTATTTTATTGAATAAATTGTTTTTAAACAAGAACACGATATTTCGACTTATATTTCAATCTTTACTGTTCTTGTATATGTGTATTTATGATTTATCTTTTTGTTTGTGAATGTAATGTTGTCCATCTATATATATAACCATAGAACAATATGATATAACTATTGTTATTGTTGTGAGCAGTCAAGGATCATGCTAATACAGTTCGAATCTTATATCAACATGGTAGAAATGTTTATCAACAATTTGGGGTGGGGTGGGTGTGAATGAGAAAAAGATAAACACCCATACCTACCCTAACAGTTACTTAGAGCATTCTAAAAATAGTGAGAGTGACACTTTAATACTGTATAATAAACTTAAAGAAACTTTCTTTTTATACAGTCTAATAGAGAAAAAAAGCGCTATCTTTCTATGCTATTTGATCATACGTCAACTAACATTATAATAATGAAGTTTCGATAAGATCTGTTTTGTTCACATGTGTCACAATTAGTGCGTATTTTTTGAAGAACTGTTGATAGAAATAAGATAGAGTAGTGCGGTTTTCATCGTTGGAAAAAGGAAATAAAGATGCAACGAATCGTGTATTGTAGATTTTTCTAATATTGATTTCTGAAGTATTTTTATTCAATTTTCTAACAGTCGCAAAAATATTTGTTTTGAAAAAAAAAATCGAAAAGTGAGCATTTTTCGCAGATTTTGCTAAAAAGTCATATTAGAGGCTCGACTAGAACGCATAATATTAATCTCAGCCTTTAGAATATGGTAGACCTTTGATTAGTGGTTTGAATTTATACTTGATAATTGAAAATTCATTGTAAACAGCTTACCCGATAAGTTTGTTTTTAAAAATATCAATTGAAAACCTTATAAAAACAGATTAGGAAACCTGGAATACATAATTCAATGTGTCTTCATCTCCTCTTTCCAACGGTGAAAACCACAGTTCTCTATCTTGTTTTTATCAAAAGTTATTCAAAAAATACTCACTCGTATTTGTTAAAATCGGTATTAATACAACCAGCACATATGATAACGAAACACATCTTATCGAAATTTTATTATTATGATATTAGTTGAAGTATGATCAAATAGCATAGAAAGATAGAGCTTTTTTTTCTATCAGACCGTATAAAAAGAAAGTTTCTTTAAGTTTACTCTCACTATTTTTGGGATGCTCGAAGTAAGAGAGAGAATTTCTTCAGATTACATGTAGATTATAGTATAGTACTCAATTGATGCAAAAACTCTACCTGAATACATTTTCAGAAGGTAGATATAGTCATCTAGAACACACATGGATATCAAATACAGTTGCTGCTCTTTTTGAAAATTTCCATTGAACAGAAAAAATTCAACGTGAAGATTTTTATACACTTGTACAGTCTCTATTAGAGATGATTAAGTGTACGAGAAGCAAACAAAATTATACAGTCATATAAAGAGATTTATACAAGTCGATTTGAACAATAAGCATTCATTTTAATGGAACGTTTTTGTCTTGCTTTGTAAACAGAACTATGAGCAAAATAGCATTATTGTGAACTTATTTTTGTTTTGCATAAATAAATGAACGTTACAGATCATTTCTCTGCACCCATATTCTCAACATAGTCGTTTGGAGTTGGTAGTAAAATCTGATAAGCTCTAGTTATAGTCCTGAGCATTGCTAAGATGCGTGTCATTGTTTGTGGATGAAGGTGTAAATTTCTACTCTAGTTTATATCCCAACATTTCTTGTAGATCGTGTTTCGCAAAAAGATAAATAATTCCTTTTTTTTTTCGCGAACAAAAATCATTTGAATTAATTCTTTTGCTTCTTTAAATGCAT